GAAATCTCAATCGTTTTGGCTCCTAAATACATATCATCGTAGGCCGTACTGAACGCTAATAACAAGAAATTGCATTTATCCTTCAGGTTTTCGGTGAAAGACAATATATGTGAATACATATGAGTTTTATGTCAAAGATGGAAGTTTCCTCTGTCCTCCTGTCCTCTAAATGGTAGTCGTTAGGAAACTCCTAAGAATTCCAATTGCAAGCCTAGATCTGTTTGTAGCAGGAAGAACATCCTGACTACCCAAGTCGACAGTAACCTTCCGGAATCCCACAGTGTTTGCCGCGACTGTTATCGTCACCCTAACGAAAGTTGATGATTGTGTACAGGTTGAGAACAAGAAACAACATAACGCTATTAAAGAAAATCCATCCCTTAAAAAGTAGCCGAGAATTTAAAAACTGATCACAGTGACGGGTCATTTATTTTTCATAGGATGAAAGAAGGTGAAAGCTCAGAACCCAGAACTCGTTTTGAGCATGTCATTATGTTGATAAAATAGCTACTAAATCAGCTTTTGCCTCAGAGTATCTCCGGAGTCACCTTGTTAAAGATGTATAGACTAGGTAGCCAAACGGACTTGAAACAAAATCATACCAGGTTGTTTAACGTAGTATTTAAACCTCCTTATGAACGGCACATAATTTTAAAGAATGGACATGAATTAAAGGGTTCAGGATCTTTTGTTCATAAGAACTTGCCTCTCACACCGTGTAAAATGCGAGGAGCCGAAAAGGAACTAAAACTTCGGTTAGATGCTGGCTAAAAGGACCTAAAAATTGTAAGCTTTCGACTACATGCCACTCCCAGATGAAAGTGATCATGTAGTTCTAAACTTAGACTTATCAAAAACGAGCACACGTCAGCCCAACTCAGACCTAACGTCCGGAAAGCAAATATCCAAGACATTATACACTCAGCATTGTAAGTAGATTGGATAGTAAAGCCAGAGTCCCTAATATGGGAAAGCTGTGAATACTTGTGCTTCGACCTTTCGTAAGTCTAGAAGGTTGTACGAAAAAAAATTATTAAGAAATCTATAGAACGCTCTAAACGCTCGTATTCATATATAAACCAACAGGCTAAAGGAAGAGGAAAAATTCCAGCACTATGGGGAGACAGCAATTCATCATTATTAGTAGAGGACGGTTATGGTAAAGCTCAGGTACTCTCAAACTCCTTTAGCAGTGTATATCCCGTGGAAATGTCCTTCGCGTCAGTCCACACAAATCCACCATACACACTCACTGGGCAACATGACCATTAAAAAACTCGACATCTTTGGCCTGCTAAATGAGGTTGATATAGACAAATCCACCGGACTTAGTGAACTGCATTCTATGTTGCTAAAGGAACTAGCTAACTTCGTTGAGAACCCCTTTGGTAATCTATCCGTAACTGAGGGTCGATTATCAGAAGTCTGGAAGAACGTCATAGTAAGTCATGTCTTCAAAACAGGTACGAAACTGTGGTGTTTAATTTAGCTAATGATTCCTTTGTACTTGTTGAATGCTTGATTTCGTTCGTGCTTATCTTGTACTTCTTGATCCGATTGCATTATTTCTGGGATCCTTAGTTCGTACCATTATTTAAATACTCCTAATTATCACAGAAACATAAGCCTGAAAACTCCGGTCTGTTATTGTAACTAGCGTGGTTGTTAAAACTTCGTGGAAAATTATTCCAAGGAAGTTGTCTAAGTATCTCGTTGAAAACCCTATCCTTTCGGAAAAGCAGCATGGTTTTAGGATAGATTATTCCTGTGTCGCCAACTTATTAGTGGCTCGTGAAAGCTGAAGTACTCTTGAAGGCCAAAAGTTACATATGGACGTAGCCTACTTTAACTTCAGTAAAGCTTTCGACAAAATTTCTCACAACTGGCTCTTATATAAGTTAAGAGATATCGGAGTAGGTGGCATTCTATTAATGTGAATAAAAATCATCCTAGTTGGACGGCAACAAAGAGTACGGGTGAACTCCAGGTTGTCTATCTGGGAAACTGTGCTTGGTAGAGTGCCTCAGGGTGCAGTTTTGTGGCCGGTGTTATTCCTACTTTATGTAACTGATCGTCCTCGTCTGCTATTACCATAGGTCGTGCCACATGCTGACTATGTCAAGATATGGAGAGCGACGAGAAGTCAAGAAGACAGCTTAGAACTTCAAAATGACCTGAAGAAATTACCTGAGTGGTCTCAAACCTGGCAGTTACCAATGCATACTTTCGAGTGTATTGTGATGTATTTCAGTCGTCAAGGTATCCATACATACATGATGAATAACATTGAGCTACCTATTGTTCAGGCACATAATAACTAAGGAGTCATCGCTAGCCAAGACCTAAGGTCTACTGCACACTGCCCTGCAATAGTTTCCAAGGGTTTTGAAACCTTATGGTCAATACTCGGGTTCTTTAGTCATGTCGACGCTAAAAGACTTTGGACTTCGTGTGCAGTATTCGTGCGTCTTAAACTTCAGTGCTGCATTCAAGCAACTAGCTCCTGTTTAGAAGAAGAGTGAGCTTTTGAAAGAGGTTCAGAGTACAGCACCCAAGCTGATTCCCGGAGTAGCGGAACTCCCGTATGATGCTCGACTGGCCAAGCTAAACCTATTCCCGTTGTCATAACGAAGAGCAAGGCACAGTGAATGACCTAATAAACAGAAGCATGTGACCCTACTGGTAGCAACTGCAAAACTTAACACCTGCATATTAAAATCGTCAAACACGTGATTATGGAAACTTCAATCCTAGTTATTACATCAGTGAGATTGCCGATCGTTCTAATACCAAATTCCGGATAATAGTTAGAGGCATTGAATAAACGCTAGGAAGGAAAGTGGCAATAACATGTCTCTCAAAATGCTGAAAACGGGGACAAATGTCAAACAAATGTCTCTGATTTTATTCTATTAGGACATGATGCAGCACCTGACAAAGAACGGTGAAACTAATACTGCGCAGTACTGGCAAAGGGTGTCACTCAAGTATGTTACGTTCGCTACATTGTGACATCAAGTTTGTATCGGCGAGCCGAACGTAGATTAACACTGTAATACCAGTAGGAAACTGATTTTTCTCTTTATGTTTACACAACTACAATAATTGACGTTTCTAGTCATTCTCGTGCGTTACACTTAACAGGCGTAAAGTTTCAGCGTCTGATTGCTGTGGAATTCACAATAACAGAGGAATTTACTGAGGCCCACCAGGTCTGGTTCAAATTGGTAAAAAACCTCTCCAGCCACATCGCGTGTTGTGAAAGCTATCTCACATTGACAAGGCAACAGCAAAAAGGCCTGATAAATCACATCTTGGTGTCAGCTAACTTTGGTCAGCAAACTATGGCGCAGAATACAGACCACGGTTCTGCTAAAGGGATATACCGTGCTGGCAAAAAGAATCGACAGCATATAGTCCCTCAAGAACTGCCCGATCCACTTCAGAAGATATTATGCATATAACTCAGAAGACGGATGATGATGTAGAGGAGCACCAAGTTGTGGATCAAATAATCAAGTGCCCCTGCAATAGTATAAGAGACCCAAATAGTGAACTAGGAATCATAAACACATATTTAAGTTTATATATGAAGTTCACAAACCCCACTATACATATAGTAAACCATGACCCTTTTCCGACGGGATGGAATACACAAAACAGGAGGCGGAGTGGTAATACACATTGTCAGTCGCTTCAAATCTGCAATGCCACGTATTAACGAGTTAACCGAGGTGGTAGAATCATGCCGATGTTACTTAGCTGCGAACGGAACAAAGTACTTGATTGGAGGAATGGACCGGCACACACAAGTGATAAGACCCAAAAAGACGAGACAATGCAAGCAATACTAAAGTTACCACACTTCTGATCTGACGAAATATCACTAACTGGAGGCTTCAACAATCTGTCCCTTAATCTCAGCAAGCGGGATACATCCCCTACAGAATGGTGTGACAAACTGATTATCACAGTCATTGAAGGTCCAGCACTGACTGGAAGTGTAAGTGACTCCACGTGATGGGAGATGAACGGGAAACTTTTAAACTTACATTATTTACTGACAAATGATTAACTTCTAGTTGACGGTGTCCATGTTCATGCATCGATATTATGTAGTGACCACGTAACATTTATGTTCTTCAGAGAACAAAATGCGAGAGATCCAGCCTGTTACAGACTAGTCTCATTACTTCGAATACTGTCGAAGGTAATGGAAGAACTGATCAATGAGGAAATGAGGGAGTGCGTAGATAAAAACAACATCCATGAGGCCTAACACGGGTTTAGGAAGATCATCATGTACGTGCAATCTCCTCACAGCATGAAATAGCTGGACGACCTACTGGGACCGTATCATAACGGTTCATGTAATATTCCTCGATCTCACTTAAACTTTCGACACTGTTCCTCATGTACTTCTCATAACGTAGGTTGAAAAGATGAGTTTTATTGACCCACCCTTAACGTAGCTCAAATATAACCTAGAGAACAGGACGTTTTGCATCAAGGTAAATAGAGCGCATGAAAATTAGGGGGTCATGACATGAAAATTTTAGCAGGGAACAATCTACGGTCTACCTCTGTTTTAGAGCTTTGTTAACGATTTACCATATGAAATTAGCTCAGTGGCACTGATCTATGCGGGAAACGCATAGATATGGAGATTTAAATATCTGTTTAGTTACCGATTCTGTTTTACAAGTCTTTCGTCTTCCAGACTTCATCTCCCTTGATCTTATAGTTTTTAATGTATTATGTTATCAGGAAAGTAAGGCCTTCTGTTTTCAGCAATCTCACCATTCTGGATTAAGTGTACTCACTTAAACTTGGGTTGTATGAATCCCGTCATCACTCCTCGCTTCATCAATACTGTTGTATCAATTGATAGTTTTAACTGGACGCTATCAAATGTCTATAATTGTATCTCAATGTCACTACATCGGTGGGAAGTTATTACTTTGTTTAGATTGATTTTAAATATATCGGGCACTGCCAAAGTCCTGCGGAAATCCAAATACTGTAACGATTTGGTTGCTATGGTAGCTCGTACTGAGAATACTTTAGGAAATATCATGTGGTGGGGTTTTACTCCTGCCATGAATCTTGCGAAGTGCTTTGACAGTTTTTGTTTCGGCGATCATTTCGATAGTAAATCATCAATTTTCACAGGGAATATATTCACAACCTAGATACTAACATACTTTGCGTAGGAATGGGCGATTCAAGACACATCTTGCGAACTTTATCTTCAAGGTTTTCTGGAAGAAATAAGTTTGAAACAGTATTTGCCTTGTTGATATATCAATTTGTTGCTTAGTTTTACCTGATCGAACCATTTCACGAAACATATGCTCGGCAGATGCTTCAGCTATATACAGCTCTTGAGCCTTACACAAGGATAGGGCTGCAGGGTAAAATATGAATTTGTGGTCTAATCTCAAAAGAGAAAGTAGAAATGTATCTTGAAATCTTTGGGAACGTGATGATTCGAGATGTCACATCTAAATATTTGATCAATGCTGCAAATAATCTGAGGAGGTTTACTTTTTTTCCGAGTGACTTAACTATTTTCAGGTTGGTGACAAACTTAGGCCCTCTTCCATCATTTGAATTTGTTGATTTGTCAAATCTGAAATACAAGGAACGTGATATGCTAGAGTCAACACTTAAGTTTTGGAGTGGGAGAGATGAAACAAAGTTTGATGCTGACAAGTGTTGGTAGGTTCCTTTTTGTTATCAGTTTAGGAGAGACACATAACGATTAGTAGTCCTATTGCCTTGTCAGATTACAGAGTTTTTGGTCGTTCACCCTGTAACCAGTAAAGTCATAAGAAAAAAGAAATTAAAATACTTGATTACTGGTTTTCATTATTCATATTTGTAACAGAAGAATCTATGCTACTCTTTTCTGAATGCTATCGGCACAACTTTTGATCAAAGTTTTCTTTTAAATCTCAGCCAACGTGCCAAAAGTGCCTTATTATTTTGATCACTTTGGCAGATATGAGGTTGTTCTGACACATCATTCTGTATAGAAGATTGTTTAACTTTATATGGCAGTTTTATCTCCACTGGAGTCATTTTATAACATATCTTAGGTTTTGATGACTTCATATATATCATTTTGATACTTATTTTTTGCCCTCCAAATGTCTGGCATAAAACAGTTTTATAATTAATCGGTATATTAAACCCTGCTGCATCAATAAACCTAACCATGTAGTAGGCAGTTTAAGAGACAAAAGCAATGACTATTAGCTAAGCCTATCGTTATTCATAAGTAGCGTGCCGGTATGTTTATAGTATGGGATATTTTACTCTCTTTGCGAAGCATAAGGTAGTATATCACCTTCGTCGATGTCGTTACATTGTTTTTAGTTTCACTAGTACTAACGTCAATCCCTTTGCTGTTTATCAACCAATTTGCGGTGATATGTTGTTTTTTATTGTCTTATTCATACTCAAGGTTATCCGAAAATAGCTTTTTTTCAATAATGTAATCTTGTTATGTGTTAGGAAAAGAACACTAAGCGATATCCTTTTTTAACGAATTGGAAGTTAGGAAAAAATCATCCAGTCCAATAATTAAGTTTAACATATAGGAGATAAACACATGTCCAAACAAGTCTTCACCACAGTGACAAGTTAGTCTTGTCATTAGATGATGGGAATTAATGCTGTCAAAGTCTTTGGTGCTGTTTAGATACACAACGTCAATCTGCTCTTTATTATTCATTCACTGACGTAATACAACACTTTGATTCGTCGTCATAGAGTAGTTTCTTAATTCAGTTTATTTAAATGTGATAAGGTATTTTAATTTGAGAGATGTTATAGTCCGTTGTTCAATGAAGTTATTTTTACCATCTGTCTCTGCTAAAAGATAAAAGATTGTGTTGAGATTTGCAGGAATTTACCGATCATATCTTTCATATGCTAACAAAAATTTAGCCTTAACTTTAGGTGTTGAAACATAGTCATCACTAATGGGTATGGATCTTAGGCATTTTAAAGCTAATGCTTGATATGCTTCACTACCGTTTGCAAACGTAAAGAAGAGGAATGAAAGTGTCTAGAACATAAGAAGCAGCCATAAAAAGAGGTGAGGAATATTTATTATTTATCAACAAGAAGAGAATAGGCGTGAATTTAGAGGGCTGGTTTTACAATAAGTAAATACACACTAGACATACAGTGGATGCAATTGACTATATTTATTTTCGGTTGACCTGGGTGTTATGCACAGTAGCTATAATGGTTATTTTTCGTCTATAAACTGCATCAAAATTATCTAGTAGTGATAAACATTTCCCCCATCGGCTGTTTTTCTGATACGCTTATAAGTGAGCATTTATGACCTTTATTCACAAATGCTGACATCAACTACTGGATTCGCAATCATTCTATTTCTTATTTTCGGTTCTTGTTGGTAATTCTTTAGGAAAATAAAATTTACCCCGATTACTACTTACCAGTTGTTGCGCCGCTTATAAATTAGTTGTCCTAAGACCTTTTATATCTGAGATATTTGGGTCCTTTTTAAACAAGTTTTGATGTGTTTTTAATGACGACAGTATGTTGGAAGCTATACAACTTTTAAAATACTCCCATGAAGTCGTACCAAGTATAAAGTGATATAAGTTCTGCAACATGTGGTTTCGTGGTACGCGTTTTGAAACAATTTTTTTCAGCCAAATATTGGGGACAATAACTAACTTCTTCTCAGTTCAGTGTCATTCAGGCTCTTACTGGTAGTTTTTAAACATTCATTGGTTTTGTTTGCGTTTTACAAAATAGATTCTTTCTTTTTGATTGTTTGAAAATAGTGTTATTTAATTGATTATTAATGTGGCAGGTTGAAAGTAGTTCAAACTGTGATAAAAAGTGGTTAGCACCAGTTTCGTCTATGCAACAATTTATTTCGGTTATGTATCATTTATATAACTTTTGTTTTTAGTTGTCTTCTATAAGGGTACCGCTTATAATCATGTTCAGCAGTTCATTTGCGTCATTATAAGTTGAAAAATTGGTTGTCTGTAGCCTTTATCTACGATATTTGAAAAGTTATGATTTTAACAAAATACTATGTATAGATCCAGACGGGCAAAAATACTGATGACTTTCATTTATAGAAGATGTTCTTATGGGTCCTTACTTTTGCAAAATATGTAGAACTAGCTTACTGACTATAAATGACATTCTTCGAAATATACGATGAGTTATAGGTCATCTGTTTTCAGTAGTAATGAGTTGAATTTGAATAAAACATATCATAGATCCAGATGCTCATTAGAGCTGTTTCTTAAACTATTTATGTAAATGTTTTCTCGGGAGAAAGTAGTAATCAATACACTTCACATTAATTTAGACTTTTTTAAGTTGACATTATGAACTTTTTCTGGCAATTGTTTGAGCAAATAACATTACAGAATATTTTAATTCCATTACAAGTGTTTGAGTATCACCCGTACTCCTTATGCTTTTTGTAGGACAGTTTATTATTATTAGCTATGAAAACATTATTCGTCGTAATTCATAGGACTATAATTTTGTCACTGTTCCCAAATATTTTATTGATTTCAACCCCAGCATCACATAGTTTTGTCATGAGTATGTTATTTAAAATATTCAATGTCCGAGTTTTTATCGAGAAGAGTCAGATGCATAGGCACATTTAGAAAAAATACTCCAACAGTTGAATCATTTTTTTGGTTATACGTAATCCTTAACTCGGTGACTGATTAACAGTGACAGCGAAATCTCATTAATTTCGACGCTAGGATCACTCATTTTATAACCTTTGTTTTTATGCTTGTTATTCATTTAACAGAGGCTACAATTAAGTGTACGTAGTGGCTTCTTCAATTCAGTACAGTGTTACAGATTTGTGAGTTTTTGAAGGTATGAGACAGAGTATTCGGCCGTCAGCAAAAGGTTTCCATAATCTTTATTCGAGATCTGAATCCAATCCCCTTTGTTTAACAGTCGGGAATAATACCACTGAAAAATTCTAGCTTCCGTTGGTAGAAATAAGCTACTTAGTTGAAGTCTGTGCAAGGACAGCTATCAGTGATTACAGACGTTGTGTGACGTGACTGAAAATCGGTCGCAGTGGTGCATATACATTCATTTCTTATCTTCCTTCACAATATTCTTTCCACTGTTCTTTCATACATACCTGTTAGTTGTGTCTTTTCACAACACAACATTGATGTTCAGTCCTTCTAATTATGATTGATGTTTCATAGTTCTGATTACTGATCTATCCATCTTGTTAATTTTATTTAGTTATGTTTTCGTAGTATGGGAGCTCAAGTCAAACTTTCGCTCCTGTCAGGTTCCATTTTTGATTATGATTAAAAACAACACGGTTAGTTGCTGATAAAGTTCTCCCATTGAGCTATTGCTATTATAATTTGTCCAATGTGATGTTTACAATTTGCATATACCTTGTTGATTCTAAATTATCCGTTTATTATGGAATTGTGTACTCACTTATTATTGAGATTTATGCCTTTAGATTAAATGGTCTTCTAAATCTGATATTCAAACACAACTTCAAATTTTTTTTATAGGAATTATCGTTTACGTAAACATTTAGGTACTCGTTATGATGCTATACCAAATGTTTTCGACTGGGATTGTAGCATAACTCTACACGATCGAAAGGTAAGTACTTCTAGTCTGCTAACATAATAATGACATAATAAAATTGAAATGGTCGGTAAGGGGATGTGGGGATTGTTTAGTTTCGTTGAAATCGCGAATTGATTTAAGTTACAGCGCCAGTGAAAACTTGGAAGCATTAAACACCCATCTCATTGTAGTATGGGACTTCTCAGCAGAGCTCATCCATGGGTAGTCCCGTACTAGAACAGAACGTCTGTCCAGTGTTTCCAGTTCTTCATTTGTGGTCTACACATTGGTTGGTTCATGGTTTCAATAAAAATTGAAATAACTATTAGAATTTATTCATCAATCACCTACTCGCACAAAAATGTTTCTGTCAGAAATAAGAATGAGAGACTACATTTCTGTTGCGAAATATTTAGCAAATACTTTTTTTCTCTCAACTATTTAGTGTATACCCAGTAAAAAGTATTCTAAATGTTTAGTCCAAAGTATTTGACAACATTTTTTGTGGTGGCTTATACGATAAAGTTTTCCTCGATTTCAAATTTTATGCAAAGGAAACTTTCTTATACTAACTTCTAAAGGCATTAGATGTACATCTACGACCAAAGCATTTCAGATTGTTTTGTTGTAATAAAGTATTGAGACCAAGTAACAGTTTGATTTATTCTTCCCTATGAAATTCTAAGATAATTATTCATCATTTTTGGAGAGCGACTATGAGTTTAATGTTTGCTCTTCGCTCAGCTGTATAAAGACTTAAAAGTATAAGCTATTAAGAAGCCGTACAGTTAAAATGAACAGCTATCTATTGTTTTCTGTCATTTTTGCTATATTTATTCTGATTAGCTTATGTATGAAAGTTAGTTATCTGGTTTATTTCATTTCCAAAATACAAGTTAAGAAGTAGTATGATCTACATGAGAAGTAAAGTTTCCTAGTAATATCAGGTGTGAGATTGTAAAATTATAAATTACACTTAAATGATTTCATGGTTTATAAATAGTCCTCTAGTTGATATTAGTCCATTACAAAGATAATCTGCATAGACTACTTAGTTAATTATCTGGGTAACTCTGGGAATTCACAATTTTAACACGGTATTTCATTGATGTTTTCGATGTAACAGTATGGCATCCATTTGACCTCGAAAGTTAAATGATAGAAAACTATGGTTAACTATTATCATCATCTAGTTAACAGTATTCTTCTAAGGACAGATGTACGAATATACTTTCCTTATCATATAATCTCCATATTTCATGTGAATACTTAACGAGTAAAACGCTGTTTATTAGAATGTTTACAATGAAGTACTACATTTGCACTATTGTTATCGATTTTCTTACTGCTGACATTTGAAAGGAAAAATGGTGTCTCATAATTCTTATTGTAATCATATCCACTTTAAGAAATAGAGACTCATGAAAAATTCTTTTTGTGTTATTTTTGTCAAGGCTACTCAAATAAACTCTAAAGAATATGCTCATTGGCGTCAGTATGGGATGGCATTTGAACTTCGGGAAGCCAATTACAATGTTCCAAATAGAAGTTTAGCTTCTGGAAGAGTTTTCAGGAACTCAGCTGGTGATAAAGGAGTTTATTGGGGGTATTGGGGTGACATAATCTGCTCACCATATTTGGTGTTTGGCATAGATACATCTGAATGTAGTGAATTAAATCGTCTTGTTAATGGGAAGCATGCATATGCGGCATCAACAATATCTGAAGTGAATATCCGTAAAATGTTCTGGGAATTAGAAAATCAAAAAGACTGCCCATTACATATATCCGTTCCATTTTTTGATCCATCAACAACAAATGATAATATCAGTTTTCCTGACGAAGAAGTTAGTTCACAAAATGATCCCACAGTAGAGAATGACACAGACGATAGTAAACAGAATATGAATGTTGAAAATAGTAATTCTGATGACTGCATACTTATGAAGTGTAAGTAAATGTAAAATCTTTTTAGAATTTAACAGGATAAAAATGTTTATTGATTTTTTTACATTATATCAGTTCTCTGGAACTTCACTTTTGGTGGTAACTTTACCAATCACCGTTAGACATTAGAAAGAAGTTATTTTGTTCAGTAAATGGATCGGAATCAGGATCTAAGTCGGAATTCTATGATTTATATTTTCCAGTGTTAGTCAATTAGAAAGTTTGGTTGATCTTCCATCCAGTGTAACCAGTAAATAACTAATTCATTCTCAATTTCTCAGCAAATAATGCTAGGTGCTGAGATAGGCTATTAAAAATGTTTTCAAAATACTTGGTATTTTGGACGATTTCATTTATAGGAAATGAAGTACTTTCGTGTGTATATATACTATGTAATCTTTTCATTAATTAGATATTTGAGGTGGCAGTGCTCTATTATTTGGGAGACAGCTCTAACTGATTCTTTCATCATGAAAATGAACTCTGAACACAAATTGGCGCATGCGAAAGGCGATTATGATGTGTGGTCTATTCTTGGAACTTTTAGTTTTTCGTCATTATTCTTGTTAGCTGGTAGACTGAGTCTACTTCAACAGGTTACTGTTGACTGAATAAGATCGTAGACTTTGATTCTGAAAATTACTTGATATTCTTCGTGTTATCCTCACACAGCTCGTGGAATCAAGTATATTTTTTTACGGGGACTACAAAAGACCATTTGTGATAGTCTACTGTATTTTCATTGTTATTTTGATCACGGGAATTATAAGAAGGAATGAAAAAAACTAACGACGCACAAATGAATACATAATCCAATTCGACTGAACAGTTCATTGAATAAGAGACAGAAATATAGTTAAAACATTTTATCTTATAGAAATTGTATATATCATCACTTTTGAGTTTCTTCAGTTACATTTATGCTGTGTTTTTATAGCAGAAAAACTAAAAGAAGAAGAAGAAGAAGAAGAAGAACAAAAAACATCAACTCAAGCTAAGTCGAATGAAGAGCCAGAACATCCTAATGAAGATTCTTTAACAAAACAATTTGACAATACAGAATACGGTAATAATATTGTTGAAATATTATCTATTATCGTTAAATTTGACTGTTTTGTTAATGAAAAATTATTTTTATTTATTTAGGAATTAAATAGAGTAACTAACATCAGTCAGTCAGCAACAACGTAGAACTTTGTACGTATGTACGTACATCAGTTGAAGTTGTCATGCCACATTAGCACAGAGATACAATTGTCAATTCAAATTCCATAGTGGTGGAGGTAGTGAAAGTATAAGCAGTAATCGGAAACATTAGGGTTTGAAGATGCTATTCAAAGAGTACAACCCAGTAAAAATACAAATCTATTTTTAAATATTTTAATTGATCTAATATTAAATGACCCAAAGTAGAAGCACATCTATATTGACGGTTCATTGTTTCTTATATCCTTAGCAATTAAAATGTTTTAAAATCAGTTGATAGGATGCTTAAATATTGATTATGTCTATTCTGTTATTCACTATGAAAATGTATTTGAAACTTCATATTCTATTAGTAATTCAAATCAGTCTCAATTATTGTTTCCCTTGTTTCAAGCTAAGTATTCAGTTATAGGAACTAATCCGTCAATATTTCTAACCTTAAATTTAATCAACAGAGAACGAATTTGTAAGCATAAAATATTGATTTTATTCTTGGTAATTCGTTTTATACATTCTAAATCCGGGAATATAAATAATGATGGTCAATCATTAACTTATCAATGTGCTGTACTGCCAAATTGATGGAGTAGCCATGGGTAGACCTTTGGGCCCAATTCTGGCGGACGTATTTATGGGAAACCTGGAACAGAAGCTTAAGCATGCAAATGATGGTACTACACTAATGTAGATGACACATTTCTCGTCTGCAACAATCACAAGCACTCCATGAACCTACTCAATCTGTTTAATAAAGGACACGAGGATATGGAATTTACTATGGAACATGAAGTTCAAGGTAAATTCCACTTCCTAGATATTGGAATCAGACGAACATCAGATGGCACATTACAAACACATTCATCGCAAAAATACATGGAGTGGAGTATATCTCAATTACTACAGTTTCTGTCCAATGAGTTACTAAAAGGGTATTGTATGAACCCTATTTGACCGCCCACGTAAAATTCGCTCAAAGGAATACCTGGAAGAAGAAATTGCTCTCATCATTAATTGCCCACGTGAAAATGCATATCCGGCGAAATTCATCCATAAATATGCCAAACCCAACCCTCGGGTTAGGTTCCGCGTTGAAAGTGACCTACCCAGCAGCGAAACTGACAACGGTATGGGAAACGAACTGCTCACTTAAACAAACTCAAATCGACAAGTCCTCTTTTCTCAGTAGCTCCAACTGTATTCACCAGTTTACATGTACGTGCCAAAGCACATACATTAGAAAAACCGAGAGAAGAGTACATGTTCGCATTTCTGAGCATGTTCCGAAGAAATTGAGACTGAAAGGGACTAAGGCCCTCAACAGTGCAATAGCTCAGCATTTACTTGACAACGGCCATACCAATGATATCCATTATGTTTTTAAAATTATTAACAGACAAAGAAATACAGCTTCTCTCCGTTTTGTTGAAGCAATTGTGATAAAAAAAACTCAAACCGGATCTATGTATTTAAAAAGAGATAGTAATAAAATTATTACTACCTTGGTAATCCAATTTTTTTGTTTTTGGTTATTTGTTTTATTTTGTCAACGTTTAGTTTGTGTTATATTCCTCTTCCATTAGCGAATTCTTAAACCGACCTTTCACTCACACATTTCCGCTCATTTGATTCTCTTAATTATGTGAACTCTTCAAATTCTATTCAATTATTACGTAACTCATTTTATCAGTTTTTAATTTCATGAATCCTTCATTACCTCTAAAATCATCACACAGTTAATCTTATCTGTATCTGAGCTCCACTCAACTATTACACCACCCATCCTTAATGTTTCCTTGATTCTAACACCAAATAATCTCTGACCTGTTCTTGGACATTTATGTATTTATATAATTATCTTTGATAACCTTTGTCATTCCAATGCTTTCCATTCACTTATGTCAATTGTTTCATGCTGTTTCTTATCTCAATGTAAAATTCCAATACATATTTGGTTGTAAGCAGCTGACGAGAAAACACGAAATATAATGAATTCATATTATTCTGTATCAATATTTGTTCTGGCTTTATGAATGTTGATCATCGCAGAAAGTTATTTTATTTAACTTTAAGTATAGTTGCTTTTAAGATGGACTTATGAACTGTTACTCATTAGTTTTAAAAACAAAAACTGAAGAAGGAGAGATAATTATTCACAAGTTGACTAAATTTAAAAGTCAGTTGGTGACTGGATTATTTTTTCTGTTCTGTCTTTTTTATTTCAGTTCCATTGGATATTGCAAACACATTCAAAGTTAAATTTCTTCCATGTAACAGCTTTTTAGATTTACCTATAAGATACCGATCTTTATTTCTCAAAAGTAACGACGATAACTCATCATCATTAAACAATCGTTTCCGAATAATTTACATCGGTAACAGTTTAGTTCACTTATTATCTGATTTGCATAAAAGAGAAAATAAAAAAGACAATGGATTACATTCCAAATTGAATAGTAATCTAGATGCAGAAGAATGTAATGATAAATTAGAGGACAAGAAAGTTATATCCAATGAAAGCACTTTAGAAAATGATTTATTTAATACTGATACATTCAAGGTTTCATTCACTGATCTTCTGGAAGATGAAGCATTGCTAATTGTAGAATCTATTCTGTGAGTTTGACAGTCTTATTCATAAATTTGTTTTATTTTACTCACATGATAGTACACTGTTCAAATTATGGTTTCTTTCAGTAATATTCTCCTTTGATTATATCTATCTCTCTACACATTTAATGTGTGTATGTGGATAGTGGAATCAATATACGCTCATTTGAAGTTATTCATCTTTCTCTCTTTAAAGCTGTATTTATTCATTTGTTTATTTTTGAGGAGGTTCTTATTTGTGATTCTAGTAATGAACATCATATTAACAAGTTTTGTTTTATATTCCTCGTAAAACTGAAACCAAACTCTACACGCTTCAAATGGTGAGAAGAACAAAGTCAACTCAAGTTGAGTTAGATCATGAGATGTTTGAAACGAGAAAACCCCTATACAATTAGATTGGCATGTCACTGTCTGTTAGTACGAGCTGTGTATCTCAGATTCGAACTTCCAGGCAGACTACAGGCCGTGACAGAACTCAGTTGTTGGGAGCCATAGCTTTTAACCCTGTAAACCATGAATTTTCAGTTTGATACCATTTAATAATGTCTAAGTATCATCGTTAATTATGAAAATTTAACATGATATATTCTTGTGAAAGATTCTAAGCCGATATTCAAGTAAACTGCTGTTTATTTACTACAACAACATTTTACTATACTAAATTTTAACCTAAACTTTCTTTATTAACTTGATTTCTTAATATTCTTCTACACATTTGAAGGTATATAGTGGAGGTTAGGTCTGAACAAATCAAAGCGTATTGCGAAAATGTTAAACAAATGGCTTGTGATCTTGGTTTCGAGGTGAGTTCAATTATGTAGGGCATGTATTTTATTCTAACTGACTTACTTATGAAGCCTTACTTTTTTGTTACAATTTTATTTAAGGACAAGTTGATGATGAAAAATGTGTGTGTATTCTTAAGAAAAGAGTTAGTTGTTCAGGATATTTTACTATCTGAGAAAATGAAAACCTGTTTATTAGCTAGTTCTTCAGTTGATATGTTGACTACGACGTTAAGATATTTTTAAATAATCATTCATCGATAATTCATCTATAGCAAAACCAAAATTAAAATTTATTTTTAGTAAACGGTTGTGGAGATTATTGAGTTTTTATTCAGGTTAATAACTGATCAATGTGTAGACCACGATTAAAAGCCTGGAAGTACTGAATGTCCTTTTTCCCCTCGTATGGGACTCGTGGACAATGTGTATCCACGATCCCGTACGTAAGACTCGGACCTAGGACGTTGGGTCACGCGTGCGAACGCGTGACTATCGTAACCAATAGTTGAAGACTCTGAGTGACATGGTTCAGAATCTATCACAAAGGCGTAGGTGTATACATTCTTTCTCTTCCTTTAAACTATGAGATTAAAATCGCTTCATATCTTTCTTTTTAGGAACTAATTCTTTTTTCCTGTACTATGTCCTTATATGCAATTTTTATTTTATATATTACCACCACTGAATTAACTACTTTTATGAATCCGGTGTTCATCTTGTTGTACTAATGCGGTATGGCAACTTGGACTAATGTACATATGTGCCTGGTCCTATGTTGTAACTGACTGATTGACTGACATTTAAAAAGTAATTTAATTGAATTAATGAACAGATATAATGACAAAATATGTTTTCTTCTTCTATCATTTTTTTCCTTTTTATTCTAGTCTATTAAAGAAATAAAACCTATGGAGGATCATCATTTATATTTTCGATTTAGACGAAAATTACAATAACAATGTTAAATATAATGTATTCAGTAATATCATATGTATGATTATACCAAAACGTACTCCCTATTTCACAGAAGTTCACAACTTTGAAGATCAAATAAATGTATTTATATTTGTGTATTTGTTGTCAATTCTATTGTGATTATGAAAGCAAAAGCTATTCAAATTGATACTTTCTTGATTATATAAGCTAAAATAACAATAATTTACATTTACTATGATAACCTGAGCGTATAATTTGGAAAACGGAATAGATTGCATATTCATGCTTCTCCTTTCAGTGAAATGACATCTTTGAAAGTTTACTAGTTGTAATTGTGATGATTGATTGAACTTAGAAAAAAAGTCATTGGAATTCAACTTATTGGTTCGAAGTTTAAGCATTCTCAACGAGACTTGAAGACATTTGGTTAGATCCTTTTTGAGTTCGTGAATGAAAGTTGTTAAGAAGTCTCAAGATAGGAAGAAATTGATGTTTGGTGGTCTACGATTTTCAATATTTATCTAGCTAACTTCAATACATGAAGTAAACCAATTACATTAGGGTTGAGATAGTTTTCATGTATTCTACTTTATGAGATTGCAACAGCTTATAAACATCATTTACTTCAAATATCATTGTTAATTAATTAATAAGGAAAATCAAAATTCTGTTGTTGTCTTAAGTGACTGACAAAGTCCAGTATGTTTAATATAATCATCATTGTTCCTCAATCGGTGGAGTTTTCTTCGTAGTAATAAATTCAGTGATCGGAGTATAATTTTCGGATTTTATTTAACTCGGATCTATCGATCAATTGAAAAGGGGCTTTTTTGTTTAAGAAAATTCTTGTGTGATGGATGGTCAGATTTCTAGCTTATGGAAAAGCTGAAAGGAATGAGGTAGGAAGCCACATAATTCAATTATGGCTTACGATTATTAACAATAGAAAGTCTCTAGTTTTTTAGTCTTTTAGTTTATCTAGTCAAGTCTAGATGTCTAAGATACTATTGAGTATGTGATGTATATATGTTATTGTCTACTTATTATATTACTATTGCTTAACAAAACTCAATTGTTTTGACTGAATTTGTCAGGTCTCTGAAATTAATCAAAGAATGCACTAATGATATATTTTATTTTGTATATTTTGGTTTGAACTAACTACTGATCAATATTTTTGGTATTGTTGTATCCCGATAAGAATAAATGAACGGTAATTTTCGGGATCCATTTATGAACCAATATTATGAGTACATTTTTGTCGTATAATTGTTATGTAACTAAACTGTTCATATTCATCCCCCTCTTATTATGAGCTTTATTTTGACCTATGAACTATGAATATACGATTTACCATTCATGAATTATTCCTTGTCTGTTAATCGCTACCTCCCTCATTCACAGCCACATCTGGCTAATTCTTGTACAAATATTGTTTCATATTTTACTGGTACGTTGTGGTCGGTTTGATTGGTAATATAAACTCAATATGCTTGAAATATAATGATTCATATGTCAGAGGCTGAGACTTGTGTTCTGGACTCAAGTGGCTGGGTTGGAAAGAGAAGCAGGGACAATCAGAACTCTAGACTGCTCATGCGGTTTTACGTGTCATTGATTCGATCGATAAGTCGCTGCCGTCTAATCTGTAGTCACAGTCACAACACGCATATTAATATATACCAAGTACCTGAATACACGAGTAGAAACGATATTTCTTTGAAAACAATAAACATCTCATGAAAAAGGTAGAAAACAAATATTCGATTGTTTCGGCTATCACGTTCTCCTTATCGGTAATGACAACCGTTATTCTCAAGATAAAAGAAATACGTTGATAAAGATTTAACTTTAATTTAAAGCGTGAACTAATCGATCATGCTTATAAATTTTATGCTGAATAGTGACATCATAGTAACTTGTTCCTTTTCGCTAAATTAACAAAAGAAGAAACGAATATCCGTTTGAGTGGTTCAGTTTGTCGATCACACATTGTTAAATTGATTTCTTACAAGAGAATGTCATCAGATAATTGTTAATCTGCAAATGTTGGGATTCATAAATTTCAACAAATTCCTTCTTAGGATAATTTGAATTATTTTCTACTTTGAATGAAAAGTTCTTCACAATAATCATCTTACAGATTACACAACTTAGTTTGCTGATTCCTTGTTAGTTAATAGTTCACCATGTCATGTAGTTCAATTTATAGTTAACAAAAAGATCTGATGTTGGTTGAACAACTGTTATAAATTAGAAAGCGCTATAGAGCTGCCTCATTCTAGTTTAGGACGCTTCAGTAGTGGGAATCCACGAACTCATTAGAAATCTAATCCAAGATATTCAAATCTTGTGGCGAGAGGCTGATCTTTGGATCACTGAGTCGGGATCCAATGGTTTATTTGTTCAAGAGGAATCAACTAAAGATATTAAGCAAACAACTCATGGTAGCATGGGGTATCCGTCTAGATTCGGTCCCCAATGGGGTCGTGATAGCTCACTGCTTGAAAGTCTTAACATGACAGCTCAACTTCCCCGTGCTTTCAAGTTTATAGTGTTTGTTTAATTAGGATTAATCCCTGATGTTAATTAGAAATTCAGAATTTTAATGAATCCATGTGTAGTAAAAGGTTAGTTTATGTTGCTATCTATTTTCTCAAAAATGAAAAAGAACGTAGAATGTAGTTTCAAAGTTATACAGCATGTCAAACACGTATTCATTTGCAATCCTTGAAGAAGATGGCCGAATTAATTTAGTGTGCATACGACTTATCTTCTGTGGAAGGTTTCTGTTTTTAATAATAAACACTTTTAACACTACGAGTTTATAATAGTAGTTGTAGTATTAGTAATAGTAGTAGTTACTTAGTTACATACTTACACCTGTTACTTCCAGTGGAGCATAGGCTGGCGACTAGCATTCTCCAACCAACTCTGTCCTGGGCCTTCTTTTCCAGTTCTATCCAATTTTTGTTCGTCTTTCTTATGTCTGTCTATATTTTTCTGGGTAATGTGTTCTTTGATCTTCCTCTCCTCCTTTGGCCTTGAGGATTCCATGTGAGAGCTTGTCTTGTGACGCAGTTCGGTGCTTTCCTCAATGTGTATCCTATCCATTTCCAGAGCTTCTTCCTCCGCTGGGATCTCGTTTGTTCTGTCCCACAGTACGTTGTTGCTAATAGTGTCCGGCCAATGGATCTGAAGTATTTTGCCTAGACAATAGTTAATAAACACCTGTATTTTCTGGATGATGGCTTTCGTAGTTCTCCAGGTTTCCGCCCCATACAGTAGAACTGTCTTGACATTTGTATTGGACATTCTGACCTTGGTGTTGGTTGACAGTTGTTTTGAGTTCCAGATATTCTTCAGATGTAAATACGCTGTTCTTGCTTTGCTGATTCGTGCATTCACATCTGCATCGGATCCACCGTGTTCATCAATGATGTTGCCCAAATATGTAAAGGTTTTTACATCTTCCAAATCTTCTCCGTCAATTGTGATTGGATTGGTGCATTCTGTGTTGTATCGGAGAACCTTGCTTTTCCCTTTGTGTATGTTGAGACCTACTGCTGCTGAGGCTGCTGCTACGCTGGTCGTCTTCTCCTGCATTTGTTGTTGTGTGTGCGACAGAAGGGCCGGATCATCTGCGAAGTCTAGATTGTTCAGCCGCACTCTAGCTGTTCACTGTATCCCATGTTGCCCTTCAGATGTTGACGTCTTCATTATCCAGTCGACCACCAAGGGAAAGAGAAACGGTGAGAGTAAGCAACATTGCCTGACACCGGTCTTTACCTCGAACGAGTCTGTCAGCTGTCCTCCACGCACGATTTTTCAGTTTAATCCATCATATGAATTCTGTATGATAGTAAATATCTTCTGAGGCACGCCATAGTGTCGAAGAAGTTTCCATAGTGTTGTTCTGTCCACGCTGTCAAATGCCTTTTCGTAGTCAATGAAGTTGATGTAGAGTGATGAATTCCGTTCAATTGATTGTTCCACAATGATCCGTAGAGTTGCGATTCGGTCTGTACTCGATCGATCCTTACGGAATCCTGTCTGTTGGTCACGAAGTTGGGCGTCTACGCAGTCCTTCATCCTGTTTAACAATACCCTGTTGAAGACTTTTCCCGGTATTGAGAGAAGAGTGATGCCACTGTAGTTATCACACTTGCTGAGATCGCCTTTCTTTGGTATTTTGATCAGAAGTCCTTCTTTCCAGTCTTTTGGTACTTGTTCCTCATCCCAAATCTAATTGAAGAGAATGTGGAGTATCCTTGCAGTTACCGCTACGTCTGCTTTTAGTGCCTCTGCTGGAATGTTGTCCGGTTCTGCTGCTTTGCCACTTTTGATTTGTCTGATGGCCATGCTGATTTCTTCAATTGATGGCGGGCCAACATTGATTGGTAGGTCCCTGGGAGCTGCTTCGATGCTGGGTGGGTTCAGTGGAGCTGGTCGATTCAAAAGTTCTTTGAAGTGTTCTACCCACCTGTTTCGTTGCTCTTCAATCTTGGTGATTACCTCGCCTTCCTTGCTTGTCACTGGTCGTTCTGGTTTGCGGCGATTTCCAGAGAGTTTCTTTGTCGTGTCATACAATTGTCTCATGTTTCCTTCTCTTGCAGCCTTTTCTGCCGTTCTCGCTAAATCCTCCACATATTTACGTTTGTCATTTCTGATGCTCCTCTTCACCTGCTCGTTTATTTGTGTATTCAGCTTGTGCCTTGGCTTTTTCTGCTCTTGTTCGACTGGTATTGATTGCTGCCTTCTTGTTCCTCCTTTTTTGAATCTTATCCAGTGTATCAACAATGATCCATTCCTTATGGTGGTGCTTCTTGTGACCCAGAACCTCATGAGATGTTGAAGTGATTGCCTCTTTGATCCCCTTCCAGTTGCTCTCCATAGTAGTTCCCTCTCCATTGAGTAGATCATGAAAGGCCTGGAACTTATTGCTGAGGACTATCTTGAATTTGTTGAGTTTGTCAGTATCCAGAAAAAAGCTGTATTGAACTTTTGTGATTTCGTCCGCCCCATTGTCCAGTGCTTCTTGAGTTTCAATTTCATCTTGGCGACCAGCAAGTGATGATCTGATGCTATATCAGCTCCTCTCTTGGTTCTCACGTCCTCTATAGTCCTCCTGAACCTTTTGTTGATGCAGATATGGTCGATTTGGTTTTGCTTAGTGTGACCCGGTGAAGTTCATATGGTTTTGTGTGGGAATATAGTGCCGCCTTTGACTAGTTTGTTGAAGACACATAGGTTTACAAACCTCTCATCATTTTCGTCCCTTTCTCCAAGTCCATGTCGTCCCATGATGTCTTCATACCCGGTGTTGTCCATTCCAACCTTGGCATTTAAATCTCCCCTCAGAATGGTCAGGTCCTTTGTTGGGCACTTCTCGACGATTGATTGCAGCCTATTGTAGAATTGATCTTTAGCGTCTTCATTGTAATCGTTGGTAGGCGCATAGCATTGGATGATGTTCATTGAAATGCCCTCTTTCTTTGTTTTGAATGAGGCTTTGATGATCTTTGGTCCATGAGATTCCCGGCCTATAAGTGCATTTTGTGGTTGTTTGGGCAACATTAATGCAACTCCTTGTGTGTGTGGTGCATTTTCTTCTTCATGGACAGAGTATAACATAAGCTCCCCTGACGCTAGTCGTTGTTGTCCAACTTCCGTCTTACGTGTTTCACTGATCCCAAGCACATCTAGGTTGTATCTCCTCATTTCTGCAGTAATTTAGAAGACTTTCTCAGTCTCCCACATTGTACGACCACTCTATGTACCTAAATAAATGGTTGCTCTGGTTGTCACAAGGAGCATCAGCCTCGTGGCTTCCGAAGGAACTCAACTTTCACCATGAGGCGTCATAACTCTTCTAAATGAAGACCTCCTGAGTTCCAGGGCAGAGTTTAAGTGGTTTGAATAATTTTTTCTGGTTAGCGTTTTTTAGCGAGTTAGTTTTCTACGGGATGGGGTCACTAACCCCATGCCTAACCCTCCTCTTTTATCCGGGCTTGAGACCGACAGTGGCTCCAGAGGGGCTCAAGTCGGAGTTAGTAGTATTAGTAGTAACTGATTATACGGTTAGATATTCTCATCAGTTAAAATGTAAAATATTTTCATTTAGAAAATACTACTCTTTCCATTTATATATCATTTGTATTGAATAATTATTATGAGATCTTTTTTAATGATCCGATGCAATTTAAATGAGATTACCTGAACTTTGTTATAATTACGGTGACGTGCCAACAGGTAGTTAGTTAATTTTCCTGCACAAAATGAAATTATAGGCGTGGTTATCTGTATGGTTAAAGGAAAATCTAATTATAGTGTTTGACAAAAGGTAGTAAATTTGTTAGAGTAACTGATTTCGCTGATAATTTTGAGATTTTTGTTTACTTAGTGTTGATCAAATACATTTGCATTGAAACTTGTATAATCTTAGACCATGTTGAAAACTAACTTCAATTTGCACAATGTTTAAAAAACCTCATATCCTAATGTTAACCATGTAATT